GTCAGACAGATGGACAGACAACCTGAAAACATAACGGCTCTGGCCACGGTTGTCTCCTGCTCGGATGCATGACAAAACAACAATTCTAGGGAGCAAACAGCAGGCAGCTTCCAGGCAAGGCCCAAACACAAGGAAATAATCCAAACAACAAGTTACTAAGGAAAGCAGAAACATAACAGGTGGCAAGAAAACTGAGGCTACAGAAAGCCAAAGCTACTGAGAATCACATCAGAAAAACTGGCATGGAACAGAGGAAACAGACAGGCTTATAAATTGAGAGCTAATCAAGGTGTAGTTAGTGGCTACAGTTATGTTTTGTGTGTGTGTGTGTGTGTGTGTGTGTGTGTAAGGCAGGGTTTTTGATTATAAGCTGTATCTGTCTAGATATATTGAAAAAGTAACATGACAAACTCTAAACTCTTTTTTTTAAATGAGGTGCAACATCAGTGGAAATCATTTCCACTCAGAATGTCAATTCATGTTTCAGTTTTCTAGCTGTTCTGAGTGAAACCAGGTTGTCTATTTGGTGATTCATCCTGTCTGAAAACATAAAAAACACTGGTTGTTTCTTTTGCTGTGATCAGAAAATCTAAACTAACAAACAACCCAGTTATAGTTTGTATAATGGGATAATACAAGGAGAAAAGTCATTTCCCATTTATTTGCCTTTTTGGTAAAACAAAATATGATAAAAAGCTCTTCTTTCATTTCCCTGATATTGTTTTAGTGGTGAAATTAGCTGGTATACAGACCAAGCTGGTAGGAGTCTACTGTATAATATTTAGTTAAGCTAAACTTTCCCACTGTTGGACCAATGGTCATGGCGAATGACTGAAGTGCTGACTGGCAACCTGGAAACATTAGGTTTTCCAAAAAACAAATATCCTCTTTTCTCATTTTCTGTCATACTGCTTGTTTGCTACATTATTCTTCCTCTCTCTGCCCCACCTCAAACCCTTTACACTCTGGCAAGTACAGTATATCCTGATGGGTTTAACAGCAGGAAGTGGAGCTTTTACAGTCAAGGATCAGGACTAAGAAAGCTCTGTGAAAGGTGGCCTCCAAGTTGAGGTGGGTCCTGTCACCACCCGTTATTCAACATTCAAACATGCCACCTGAGGTGGCAAGGTTCAGTGCTGTACATCTTTTTTTTTTTCATTTTTATGACATATTTTGAAAAGGAAAGAAAGAAAAAGGCAAGTGACAGTCTGAGTCCTAAAACAAGGCTGCTTACAACTTCATTATGATCAGTATATTTGATTGATTAGATTTATTCTTTCAAGCATGTAAAGACAGTTGATATATCAACACACATAATTTTACACATATCCAACAAATGCTAATCCAATATCAATTTGCTTATACCTAGTACATGCTTGAATGGAGTAGGAAGAAGTCAGACTTATCCAGTCCTACCCCATGACATCATCTTACCATCATTGGTTTGCAAGCAGTATCTCTACATAAATAATTCTCTTCTACACCACACAAGTAATATACTAAAAAAATTATAACAGAATGTTAACATTCTTACATAATTACATTCTTAAATAATTATCTTCTACACCACACAAGTAACATACTAAAGAATTAATACAAGGTGTTAACATTCATACACCACACCCACAATGTTCCATCTAATTAATCATTAAGCTAACTGTCCCCTTAAATTGTATCCCCCTTCCCTTTCATTAAATAGTTTTTGAATTCCACCAGGTAATAAATTGTTCCTGGCTTATATAGATCACTATATGTACAGTATGTTAACAGGCCATGAAGTCAATGTGTTTGTACTTTACAAAGGAAATGAACCTCAGCTGCATACTGTAGAAAAATCACTTGTTACTGTGTGGTCTGTTCTAACCTGGTCACTCAGGCATAAAAAGGGGATTTCTTCAATCAAATGTATTTTGCCAGACACATCACACTTCGTTCCCACTTTGCATTGAGAAGACAAAGTTAAGTATCTAGAGGAAGTGAAAGGTGTGAAAAGTTTCCTGTAGGTGAGCCTGCAGGAGGATTATTCTCTGAAAGAAAAACTAATTAAAGAGGTCTGTGCTATAATTAGCATGGCTTAAACATACAAGGTGCTATCTACTATGCCCTTGAGCTTCCTCTGAATGAATATACATTTACATATATTGTTTACACATAGTCCTATAACCACT